ACAGCGTCAACATTCTTACCGCTATTATTGCTCTCTATTCTGTCCATTATTCTGTCCAAACATGAGCACAATTGAGCAATTTAGTACAAAATAAGATTTAGTGCAAGATGCCCCTGACAGAAAACCATGCTGCGCAGTTGGGATGAGATGAAGTTTGGAAATCCATCCCACTTCTCACAATTTTCTCAGAACATTTCAGTGAGGTGGGCAGGATGCTTATGAGCTTGAAAATGCTTATAAGGCTGCAGCTGATCCTTTTGGGTATGGAAGTGACTAAGGAGCTCTTCTAAATGCTTGGAATTCGACTTTGAACTAGGCAGATGTTGAAAAGACGTGCAAGAGGAACAGCAAGATGTTTTGCATATTCTTTGAAGAAAGGTAGGGGATCTCAGTTGATGCGAAAGACATGGATGGTTTGAATCTTCCCAGATGCTTCGGTACTTGTAACAGTACTTGCGAAAGATACTTGGTAACATCAAACACAAGCTGGAGTCTCAAGGTGAGGTTATGTCGTCATCATGTGGCTTGCCGAATGCACTCGCGAAATAGTCAACGATTGCCTCAGCTTTCGTAGAATTAGTTGAATTAATTCTCTTCGGAATCCTCCAAGATATGAAGTAACTGAACTGTAAGTTGTATTGATCTTTCCGATATATCCATATAGCTTTTTCAAATTGTCATCCTTCGCCAGTTTATGCATTCTCAAAGCCAGATAGCGCTCTACACGGAAATTGAGCATTTTGGAAATATCAGGGAGGAGGATCTTTTTCTATAGTTTGAAGAGATGCTGAAAAACAGTCGTTCACACTGCTCGAAGTGAAAGTGAACGTGCCTGTGATGCTTTACGTACTGCCGGAGGGGTACGTATCGATTGATGATGTCAAGAAAGACGGCATTAAATCTGCCACAAACATTGTCAATGTCCAAATAATTGTCAATATCGCTTGTATTTAAAACTAGAATAGTATTGTATAATTTTCTCCTTGTTCGTACATTTCAAATCTCTATGAAAAACTAGCCCAGTAGCAAAGAGTCAACCCTGCGTTGCGCAGTTTTCAACGGCCACGTTGCGCAGTTTCGCCCGATTAGACACGTTCTCTCGCGCGAACATTCACACTCGCATGCTCGAGCCGTCTGTGTCTCCGCCCATACAGCGTGCGTTGAGGATCTCTCGACGTGCCGTTGCGAACTGCGCAACGCAGGGTTGACTCTGGTATCAATCGAAATAACTTCGTATACTAGATAGAGGAGAATGATAGTTGATAGATTTAATTAGATGAGAAAGGAAGGATAGGCATGCAGTGCCGTTCGTAAAATGTAGAGTTCAGAATTCTATCCACTCTGGTTGAAAGATTAACCCAGTGTTGAAAAGTTCTCAAATGCTGATAAAAAAATTTCGGCACTAGCATCAGATGCCATATTGGACTTCCAATCAATATCGAAATAAAAAGCTCCCAGAACAATTGTTCTGTAGGGCACTGTCGCTGATAGGTCCTAATGGCAGTAATTAGTTAATACTTCGTCGCGTGCTGACAGCACGCCAGTTTGCACTTGTATGACCGTGTGGTGTACATGTACATGTACACGGTTTTTTAAAACATATGCTCGGAATTTTTACTTCAATTCAGTGGAAGTACAGTTTCCGAATTGGGAGAACAACATAAGTTATACGAAGGATTACATCATATGAAAGAAGTTGTACATTACTGAACATTGTTTGAAAAACTTCAGTCGCAGCTTCTCTTTTTTTGTGGTCATTTTCTAGTGAAAGAGGAAATTAACTTCAGTAACCTCTAACGCTCAAAAAACTAGAAAAGGCTTAAAATGGAGCAATTTCGCCTCCTTTCCCAATTTCATCTGCAATGGGGCCCCGAACAAACGTCAAATCTAAGAAAATAGCGGATGCAAGAAAGAATCGCAAAGAAATTTGGTTATTTTTTTTTGTTAAGAGGTCCAAGAATAGGTACTCGAGATCCCCTCAGCCCACCCCACCCGCAGACAACCTACATTCTCAAATATCGGGAAAGAAGTTGTACATTACTGAACATTGTTTGAAAAACTTCAGTCGCAGCTTCTCTTTTTTGTGGTCATTTTCTAGTGAAAGAGGAAATTAACTTCAGTAACCTCTAACGCTCAAAAAACTAGAAAAGGCTTAAATTGGAGCAATTTCGCCTCCTTTCCCAATTTCATCTGCAATGTACATTTTTTTCTGACCCCTTTCAGTCGCATTGATTCCTTATACAACTGGTAATACGTAATTGATTCCACCCGTCCAATACATTAAATAAATACTGTGAATGATAAAATACGAATGATTTGACTTTACAGAAAAGATGCATATGAAATACGGCGCAAGGCAGACAAATGAAGGCACAAAACATCAGACGCAGTGATCGGCAGTCAAGATCAACTCTTTTAAGTAGAATCATGTTGTGTGAAAAAATGCGCACACCAACTCCTGCTCTACCTCACGCTCATGTCTATCTTTTCGAATTATTGTATAAGGGGAAACAGAGCGGAGTTCAGAATCAGTGATTTTATTATTTAGCCATGTTTTCGTGATGAAAGTAATCCCGGGCATGTGGGTGTCCATGAGGCGAGTAATAAATACTGAATCTTATTCGTGACACTGCGAGCGCTTAGCTCAGCAAAAAACACCTATCGAACGGAGTTAGGGGAGAAGTTAGTTTTTTTCTGAATTCTTGGAATTTCCGATGCCTTGATAATCTCATTTTTGCATACGACACACTGTAATATTCTCAAATCCCTTGCCATTCAATCCACGTGCACGATCACGATATCATGCTCCCTTTCGCGTCACTGTCATCGATTGTCTTCTTTGTACATGGGAAATGAGCAGAGTCGACGAGCTTTAGGTAAAATATCGAGCATAAACGAAGTGAAGAAAACACAGATTTGACCATGCGGGACTTTCCCTCAACACCGCGACCCAAACTGTAGGCCTGGTCTTGAATCTAAGGAATTGAGAATGCCGGAAACAAACTTCACCGTGTGATCCTGGCACATAAACGGAAAAAGTTATATTTAGGCCTCAGGTATCCCATAATGCGACGGCGGATTTGGTAGGATGTTTGCAGGCACCGAGTCAATTCCGATCATTTATTTGGCCGCTCACGACGGGTGCAGCCGCAAGAATGACGACTTCATACGTGTTACTAATGTTTTTCTTCCTGATTTTATTGTTAGTCAAGCGGTTTCTTCGGGGAACAATCCCAACCCAGCCTGTTACAAGTCATTCTGATACTTCAACCGAATCTGTTGACGATGTTGCTTCGTCCGCTTCTATTAATCCTTCGGAAAACGAATGAAATCCTTCGCTTCCAATGTGATATCAGATATTTAACGAGTAATGCTCACTCTCTCTATTATATGGCCGTCATTGGCTGTGATGTTTATGTCCTATGTCCCAAACAAGACCTTGCTAAAATCCAAGTCAGCTTGAACTGCTGCTGGGTGGTTGTACAGGGTGTCCCATGAAGATTCCACCAAATTTGAGCTCAAATTCTGTAAATGTTATACCTTTTATTCCGAAGATTGGCAGACCTTTCAATCCTCTATCCTCTTGTCAATGACCATGCCAAATTCCACGGCTTACCGTTCGGCCTGCATCTCATGGTGCGCCTAAACTTCAACAGAGTGCCTAACCTCTCACACAGCTAGGTCGGACATCCGGTGATGAGCATCGCGCTTCTTTGGATTTTCAACCGCTCCGCGGCCTACCGTGCACTAAAGAGAAGACCAATAAAAGTAGTCTTTGTTGTGGCCGCCCCACAAGTTCTGACATCTTGGATCTCAGGAAAAGCATGAAGAAGCGAAACGACTGCAATACCCGGGTTGGCTCGACCAGAACGCTGGAGTTTCTAAACACAGCCATGTAGAGAGTGGTCGGATAACAACTGCTCACAGTCCATTATAAGTTGCATAAGCACCACTGCTCAATCAACGGGAGGAGCACAGCAGAGACAAAAAGTTCAAAGAGCTGGTGTCGAGGGCCGAAAATGGCGATTACGCGGGCACCGTTTTCATCGACGACAAAATTCCTCACATGGAGCGGAGCTACAATCTTCAAACTCCGAGGATGCCCGCATGAGGTCTTGAGGCAATGAGAGTGAAAGGAATATTCGCCACAAGCAGCAGCCGAATCCTATCATAGTCTGGACGTGGTCTTAATTGCCGATTGCTCGCAATCACTGCCTGTTTACAAAGGAATACAACTTCACCGTAACCCACACTAACGCTAGGGCGCGGCGCAGTCCTCCCGCGAGCGACGCTGCAAACGGTGTTGTTAGGTTGTGAGCGAATACGAGCAACGACGCTACACCGGCGCGCAGCGTTCCAAAAATGGAGCAGCGTCGCAGCGTCCGCGCGCGGGCAGGGGAGGTGACCCTACACGTGCCGCCTCATCCTACGTGAGGCCAAACCGTCGTGCGTGCTATCCTCCGCGTTCTTGATCAACTGCGCTTAGTATAGTTGGCGAGTTTGCTCGACGCATACTCTCTTCGTTGAGAGAACGCAGAGAAATTAATAAGGGTGCGCACACATGGAAAATCAATGACCATTGCGCGCCCCAGTGCAATGTCGAGACGGTTACAGTACACAGCCTATGTTCCTGAACTTATAATCTTGTGGGCTTTACTTGCACATCCTCACTATATTACAGCACAGAACGATGAGCTTCATTTTTATTTCTTCCTTCTTCGTTTTTCCCATGCAGAAACGACAAGGAATGCTTGTTTGGCTCAGCGACGTTTCTTGGCACTCAGCTCAAAACCTCCATCAGCTTTGCTATAAATAATGTGAATAGCTCTCAATTAAATGAAGAGCATTCACCAAATTTTCTAACTGTTTCGCGACATCTTCTCATCTATTTCGAAAGGCAACCGTCATCATTTTCGTGCAGTTTTTTAGTTCACGTATGACCATCTCCGTTGAAGGCGCTTCTCCGCAACTAACTCGATTTGAGCGATTTCTGTTAAGGAATGTCTACCGTCAATAACGCCATAACACCGCAACCACCTCCACCGGAAATCTTTGGTGGAAGTAGGAGGATCTGGGCAGCGACATGGTACAGCATCCTCAGCCTATTCTCGATTACTCTACATACAACATTCATTGCGGTAAGTATTTATTTATCATGACTCTGGATGACAATGTCTATTTTCCAACCGGCCAAAACCGACTCACACCCTCTTTGCAACACAAGGTGTAAGGTTAGATAGTCTAGTCCATACGGTGCGACGCAAAGTAATCCTAATCGTGCAGTGCGACACAATGTAATGAACTTTTTCAAGTGCGCGTGAAGGACTATCGTAAGGATTGAAGGTTCATTAACGAACAAATAAAACAGTAATTTTTGGAGAGATTGCTAGTAACAGAGGCACGGGGCGAGTCGTAGTTGGCGAGCTCGGAAGTGACAGCTACAGATCCAGCGTAGCGTTCACGCGCGGACTGTTCGTTGGCGTAAGCCACAAATGCTTGCTCCGCTGAACCACTGAGGCTCTCCAAACTCAATGAGCCACTAAGGCTCCTTCAAAAGCCACTGAGGCTAGCAACCGAGCCACTGAGGCTTCAGATACCAAGTCACATAACCTCCCTGCTCTACGACACTAATGCTATTTCAACGCCCCCACTTCGAGCCCAAGACCTCTCAATGGTTTGCCGCGTATCTTTCGACACTTTTTTCCTCATATCTTTTTTTTACATATGACAATTATTGCCTAATTTCGTAGCACTCTGCTTAGTTATTTAGGGCCCACCTTGTAGACACCAATTACAAGAACTCTTAATTCATTGACAACAGTGTGGCCGGTAGGCGCACGCAGGCACGACTCGTTTTGCTTGATGCTTATTTGGCATTCGTTCGTGTCTAAAAGCAGCAATTACATTTATTGGGTATGGGAATGAGTTCATTGGTGATAAAATTTTCGAAGTAATGGACCACCAGTTACAGTCGATATCCGAAAGTTGGGGTAGGCGTGTCACCGGAAGTGACGTGCACTTGATAGAAGTTGCGTGGATAAGCTGTTGCCAGCATGCTTTGCTGATATCCAGCGATGTATGTTGGAAGCAGCTTATCCACATAGCTTCTATCAAGTGCACGTCACTTCCGGTGACACGCCTACCCCAACTCTCGGATATCGAGTATTTTTTACTACATACAGGATAAACAAAAATTACGGTAACAAGTTAAATTGGTAAAAAAATTAGTGTGACTGAAAAGTCCCGATTCAACAACATCAACATAGTGGTCAACAAGCCTTAAATGATGGTACTCCTTGGCGTTGTAAATAAAGAATGTCTGCATGAAGAATCATCGGCCTGTAGGTAAGTGTTATCGAACTAGTTCGAGGATTTCTAGAGCGACTATTAAACTAGTCGATGTTCCGATGTTGATCTGATGTTCTGTATTCAGAGAATTTTCTTGCCTTTGACTTTCTCACAAAAACAGCATGTCTTATGATTATGAGGAGAGCTAGTTAGTTCTTCCAGACAGCCAATTCCGCAGTAGTCGGTAAGCCACAATTCCATCCAATCTTTGCGGTTTGAATGAGCGCTCAGTCTTGTCTTATGCCCACTGTCTCACATCACGGTGGCGACGAGAGCATTTTCTCTTCGCATGCGCACGAAAAACACCGTGAAAAACAAAAGCCGGTGCATTTTGCCTTTCTAGACTTGGGAAAGGCTTTTGATCGCGTTCCACGTGAAGTAATATGGTACGCCTTACGACAACATGGCATCCTAGCGATGTTCGGACTCAGGTTGAACGTTAGGAAGACTGAGTACCTGACAACCGACACGAGCGAGTGCGGTTCTATCAAAATAAATGGATAGAGCTGACACGTACAACGACATTCAAGTATCTTGGATCAGCAATTGCGTCTGATGGCAGTATGAGTACTGAAGGTGAACTCGCGTGTGAGTGCGGCTTGGTCCAAGTGGCGTTCTATGACGGGAGTTCTCTGTGACAAGAAAATCCCAGAACGCCTCAAATCGAAGATCTATAGAACAGTCATAAGACCAGTGGCATTGTACGGCGCTGAGTGCTGGCCAGCGACCAG